GAGATTAAAAAACTGACTCGTACAGGCCGTATCCAACGACCTGCTTATAATTTGGTGGCTGAATGGGTAATAAAATCATGGAACCAAGTTGATCCCACTCTTATAAAATGTTCATTCGAGTGTTGCGGCATCTCCACTGCTCAAGATGGAACCGAGGAAGATTTAATGTTTAATTATGACTGGGTTAATAACCCAGAAGCTCGTAATAGAAATAATGAATTTATATATGCTAATGAGGATAGCACAAGTGATGATGAAAGTATTGTTGACTTGACCCAAAATGATAATAACGATAATGATAATGGTGGCAGTAATGTTGACGATTACGGTGATGAAGATGATGGCGATGAAAATGGTGATAGTGATGGTAAAGATGATGGTAATAGTCTGAGTGAAGATGAAGATGAAAATAATCATAATGAAGACTGTGATGAAGACACATATTATGATGATGAGGTGGCCGAATATGTTAATTCATGGGATTAGGAATTTTCCAGCTTATAATTTTAGAATAGGTCTTAATTACAGAATAGCAAAGAAATATTGTATAATCTAACACATAAATAATCAATTTTAACAATTCATTAAAATAATGTGCCGATATTGGCAATTTGCTTCACAATGGACGATTATGAAAAGATTTAACAATTTATTGGATAAATTGCCATATTATGGGCATATATAAATTCGATTTAAATAAAAATTTATTTTTCTTAACCACAATTTCAATAACACAACGATGGTACCAGCATCCAACTTGATCAGCGGTGCTAATTTTATAGTAAGCCAAATAAAACTCCTAAAAGCTACCATAAAGATAAATATATAAAAAATGAAAGCATCAGAAATTGAACTTGTTAATTTATGGGCATTAGGAAATGGAGTCTATTATATATAATTTTCCGAATTACTTATATGCATTGAAACTTTATATACTATGATTATGGGACGCGAAGAAATCTATAGTATAATGCGCAAATACGAAGGATCACTTGCAGATTTAAATAGTTCATTAAACTTTAAACTGTGAAGGATTAGTATTAAACAGTGTTATCATTCGGGCAATGGTTTAAATTTTGTTGGAATTGAATTTCGAAAATATGTACCATTATAAGCTAAGTGCTGGACTATCTGGCAGACAGTTTGTACAATACTGGCATTGAGAAGACGTGAATAAAGATTTATTTTTTTGTTTTTTTTTTTGTCGGATGTTATGCAATTATATGTTCTAGATATCATACCCAGGTCTTTTAACATTTACACCCAATTTATATACCCGGGTCTTTTAATATTTATGATCTAGTTATAGACCCGGGTCTTTTACACTTTACCAAAATTTTGACCCACATAATAGACTCGGGTATAATACCTAGTGGATCTACTATCAAGGGGGGTCTTGTATATGGCGATTTACGGTATTTCTTGTCGCGTCGTAGTTTCTACTTGTTTAGGATGTGCTAAATATTCTTGGTGTGTCATAGCTGATATATGCTCTCTAATTTCTTCTTCGTCTACAAGGCTTTCGATGTCTTCAAAACAATATTTTGCTTGATCATTGTTGGTATATGCTTGTTCGAGATTACTGTAGTCTTCACAATTTTCATAGTATCCGTGTATCTTATTAAAAATGAAATCTAGTGGTTGTTTAATCATGGGTATCAATGGTAACTGTATTGCTTCGTCATAAGTATACCATTTCCATTTTGATGCATTTTCTGGTTCAGTTTGCTTTAGTTGTGTTCCAATATTTACGGGGTAAATAAACACTGTTCGTCGTATTTTGTGAGTTGCTTTGTCTGGTGGGCAGTATTTCTTTGCTACCCATTCTTGTGAGCTTATTTTAAACTCGGTCCATACTTTGATTAATTGCAATTTTTCTAGTAGTATATTTGATTCTTCTAAAGCTTCTCATATTGTCGTTACTTCTTCAGATTCACATGGTCTTCCTAATTCATCTAATTTGCCTTTTCCTTCCATTCCTTGATAGTCTTCATAAAATACTTTTAAAGGGTTATTTCTTTGTGATAAGGCTATTTGATATTCTTTTCTGGGTGGTATCTGTTTGAACTATATGTCAGATTGGTAGGTTGAGGTGATTGATTAGTGATTGTGCTATAAATTCTAAGTTTCTACATGTGAAACAAGTGTTATAATATATTTCTTGGTTTCCATTGATTATTTCTTTATGTTCTATAATAGTATTGAAGTTATTGCAAGTAATGCATTTCCAAAGTATTTTATACTCTGGATCTTTAATTATTGGTAATTGTTCTATTTTCATTTAGTTGTTTAATAGTATATTCTATTAATTTAATATCTTCGAGTTCCTTTTTAGATTGCTCTATTTCTTTTTGTAGGGTTTTAGATTTCTTCAATTTATATGCTTTGGTTTGTATATATCTTCTATAATTTTGATCAATTTGATTACACTGGTAACAGCATTGTAACTCTATTATACTATTGGTCTTTTTGATTTTCTTTTCAAAATATTCTTTTGTGAGGTATCTTTTGCACTTTGGGCAATGTTTCTTTTTATTATTTGTTTCTAAGATAGGTTTTGAAAGTGTATAATTTTGGTAGTATTTTAGTCTACACTCTTGACAGGATTTAAGTTTCCTGTAGTCTTTAACAAATGTTTCTAAAGGTTTTTCTCTTGAACAGATAACACAACTAAGATAATTATAAGAAAATGTTCTGTTATTATTTATAATTTCTACAGATCTTCATTGTTTTTGCTATTCAAGTCTAAGTTTGCATCTTTCAAAAGTTTTACTCATTTCTTCTGATTTATTGGGAATTGTATATATTTCCTTGGGTATTCTACACTTGGTACATTTCTTGATATTCTTGTTGTGATGCTTTATATATTTCTTTATTAATCTGGTCAATAATAGCTTGCCTTGTACTTGTTATTTGTAAATTTGTTTGGCATCACTTAGAATTGTGTCCTGAGTTTGCACTTTGAGTTTTGCACTTAATACAGGTTCGATATAGTATTCCAGTCTGTTTTTTTCCAAATTCTTCTTTTGATTTCTTGATTCTGCACCTTGAACACTTTATTTGTATAGGTTGGTTCTTAATATTTTCTTCTTTATTATTCCTTTGTATCTGATATTCTTTTTGATATTCTGGTTTTTGAGCTCTTCTGTCTCAACAAAATATACAAGTTTTGTTTACTCACTTTTCCTGTTTAAAATCTTCAGGATAGTTTCTGTATTTTTGACAAGTTGAGCAGAGTTGGTACTGCAATTTTGGTCCTGTTATTATTGGGTTATGGAATATGAAATTATATTCCTGTTGTTGGTTCATTCTTTACTTCTTCCGGGTTTATTAGTAGTAATTCTTCTACTGCTTCTATGTTCTTCTGCATTATCTTCACTAAATTGTTTGAATCTTGTAATTCTTTTTTGCCACACTTTAGCAATTGAATATTTATATTCTTGCAGGTACTGTAGTTGTTTTAATTCTTTGGCTAATACTTCTTTTTCTTTTGCTAGGTCTTAAAGAATTAGTTGGTAGAGGCTTATAGCAGTTCCTGATATCTACGGTATAAATACTTCTTGGTGGTATTCTTTTATTAATTCAATATCTTTTTCTTTTGGTAGTATTTAACTTGTTGACCATTTATATCGCTTAGCTTTTCTTCTTAATTCTGCAACCTTCCACCACTTTATATTAGAATTATCATGTCTTTTTCAATATACTATTCTAAATGAGAGGTATAAAAGTATAAGTTTATATCTTTCCTTTCTATCAGTTTTTGTGATATCGTTAGAATTTTCTTGTAATTTTTTTTTAATATCTATTTAGTGTTTTCTTGCCAATTTAATTAGTTCTCTAATCTCACTTAATCTATTTTTATAGATTTCTTTAATATGCTTGATATTTTCTTTTAATTGTTCTTCAATATATTTTCACTGTTCTAATCTTTCTGAATTTGGATGTTTAATTAATTCTTTAGAATATTGCCTTTGTATATATCTCAATTTCTTTTTAAGTTTCTTTTTATATTTATTTTTCATTTATAGTGAACTAAATTATTTCCTTGTACGTATGAGAATTCATACTAAATATGAGCTTCTGCTTTATCAAGTGTCCAATTGAAGATATCAAATAAGATAATAATATAAAAATCTTAATCTTTTAATGTTGCTTTTGTTTCTGATATTTTCTTTAAGCTTTTGTTGCCATTAAGAGTTTCTTGGTATATTAATATTTGGTTTGTTCGTCTCTAGTTAGGTTTACTACAAAATGTTCTACAGTCAGACCTCTCTAAGTGCACTTCTATAAGTGCACACCCTCTATAAATGCACTCTAAAGTCCGGTCCCAAGCTGGGACCATAGTGTTAAGTGCACACCCTCTATGTTCTGCACGTGCATTTAATTTTACTATTAGGCTACCTTCCGTAAATGCACTATCACGTGCTGATAAATTGTATTGACCAATAAAATTTCGCAGATGATGTGTAACCTCCATAGATCTAATTTTCAATTAACTGCTTTTTTGGGTTCTTTGTTCTTTTTTCTTTTTTTTTTTTTTTTTAAAAAAAAAAAATTTGATGCCGTATTTATTAAAGACCGTATTTGATTAATTCATTTTTAATTAAATCTTTAATTAGATCTTTTTTAATTAACTCTTTAATTAAAAGAACAATCCGGTTTTAAAAAATGATTAAAAAAAAAAAAAAAAGTATTAAATAATGAATCTGCCGCTTTAGTGGCCCCTCTAAATTTGATAAACAATGCTTTTGCGTTCCCTAAGCAATATTCTTGCGCCCCTCTAATTTTTTTTTTTTTTTTTTTTAACATTTCCCGGTGCCCCTCTAAATTTGATAAACAACGCTTTTGCGTTCTCTAAGCAAGATTCTTGCGCCCCTCTAATTTTTTTATACATTGTTTTTTAAATAATGCCAAAAAGAACAACCTTAACGGACACACAAAAATTTGAATTCTGTGTCTATGCCCGTAATAATAAGAAGACCCGCCCAGAATATGTGAAGTGGATTGAAGAAAAATGGGGTCAAAGTTAATGAGTCTACGATCACTCGAATCTTACAAACCAAGGACCAACGACTTTCTAATGAAATCGTAAATCTAGAAGCTAAGCGCCATAGAGCCGTTACTGTACCAGAGCTTGAGCTTGCACTCAAGGAATTCATACTAGTCTATCAACACCGCACTATTCTAAGCGATGCTATGATGATTGAAAAAGCAAAATTGTTAGCAGATGAACTTGGAGTTCCTGAAGGCAAGTTGCATTTTTCTTCCGGGTGGCTTCAAAAATTTAAAGAGCGAAATGGGATCTGTCAAATAAAGCTTCATGGAAAGCAGGATCTGTTGATGAAGATGTTATTACAGAATCTCTGCCTTTATTGCAAAGTAAATGTTCTGAATATCCTCTTGACCGCATATATAATATGGACAAAACTGGGCTTTTTTACCGGTAGTTTTTTTTTTTTTTTTTGATAAATTGTTTTTTTTTTTTTTTAATAAAAACTTTTCTTTTTCAACATTACAGATTGGAACCGGATCGAACCTTGGCAACACGACGAATTGCAGGGCGCAAAAAAAATAAAGAACGTATTTCTGTAGCATTATGTGCGAATGCAGATGGATCCCATAAGTTG